GTAAAGGGAATATCGGAATCCTTTACAATCTCATGACTTGTGGCGCTTCTGCCATGTAGCTCATAATGCGATGTCAATCTGCATTGTTATGTCATCAGCCAGGAATGTCTTAATACCTTTAATACCATAATTACAATTATGTGACCACTACGTCATGTAGCTTAATTTTCATACCTTAATAAAGTCATATTTTTTACCTCCGAAGCAACCGTCAAGACCGAACAGCAACAAATGCGATTACATAAACGCATTTTAAATCTCTGAAATAAACAACTAGACGTAGAAATCTACATAACGCAATTACGTCCAAAATTTTACTTAATGCCCATGTCTGAAACTCAGCTAAAATTAATATAAAAAGTGAAATTTTCGACGCAGTCATATTTACATAGCGTATTTATGCGCTTGTGGATGGGCCACAAACTAAGAAGGATGAAAGACGTGTAATCCTAGCATCTTTCGAATGTGAACTTGGTGCTGAACCAATTCAGCTAACCCGGCAGGTTCATGAACAAACCAACCATTCTTCAGTACAACGGTACTATTCGTTGTCCAATTTCAGAAGTTGCCAGTTCCACTTGTGTGGTTTTCATAAAACTGAATTTCGACCTCAAACACCAAATTAAAAACAACTTATCTTAAAAGCATTTATTAAATGATGAGATTAATAACGTTCAAACGCAGTTTATGAACCCACATAACAAAAAGTGTAAATATGCATAAAAACGATCATGAAATGCAAGAGAGAAAAAAAACAATCCATACCTTCAACAACTCGTAAATATAAAAGCGAATGTCATAATCCGTCAACGTTTGGTATAACTGCTAAAACAAATTCGAATAAGCAATCATCGTAAAAAGTTTTAAGGAAAAAACATGAATATGAAGGACAAAATATATTAAAAGCTCCGATCTGAGACCAAATTACGGTTGACTGAAAACAACGTTTAAAGAGACGATGATAAGAAACGGCTAACATCCTTAAATGTTTTGAACCATAGAAAAAATGATACCTTATCACAAACAAGAATAATCAACCATAACCACCTTATAAGGGACGATATTAAACAGTAGTTTGCAGATTAATAGAACAATAGCATAAGGGGTAAATATCTTACACTGCACTTTAGAGGTGCACAGTTTTACTTTAGTGTGCGGAGTAAATTTGTTTATCCCGTGAAACGATTTTTTTTTCACAAAAGGCTCTAAATTAACTGCCTAACTATGCATTTGCAGAAAAAAACCATTAAATCATAATAAAATCCACATGCCCAGCAAGGAACTGAAACAAACTAAAAGTACCGAAGTTCCCAGTATGGTCAGCTGCCATAATAAAGACTTATTTACTAGCAGAGCCAGAGATGCGAAAATTCAATCAGTTGTAAACCTGTACTAAATTTTAAGTTGTTTAACTTACTAATGGAATAATACAGCAATTCAGCAAAAAGGCTAAAGCTGAATGGCTACGGTGAACTAATTCCTTAGTTGGCCTACGTTTCACCCCCCATGAATGCAATGAGTGGTCCAGATAAAATTTTACATTTAAATTAATATGCCGGATTACGATTTGCTGTCATTTGCTTTACATCTATACATTTAGCACGTATTATAAGGTGGCTTGCTGCTTGTCATATCAGTTGTGTCTGAAGATGCTAAGGCGTGCGTAGTGAAATGCAATGGTATTAGAACTTTAGCATTAGCGTTGTTTGGTGCCCTTAATCATGAATCGACCAAACATCTACTGGTCCAATAAATGACCCAGAACCAAAAATATCCCAAAATCCTACCTCAGCGTCTAGCAGCACTGGCTGCTGAAGCGCAGACATCAGAGTGCATTCTTCTCCAGGATCAACCACGCTATCAAAGTATCTGGCTACCATCCCAATAAGGGACCGAGGTCTCTCCTCTAAAACTGGAAGCCTGCGAATTGTGAGGAGCTACAGCATACCAAAATCAACTGAACCAAATGGCAACTTATTATAATGGCTAAAACAACCCATGGAACCTGGTCTCAGTACCCTGTCGGTCTTCGGGTCCACACTAAGGAGGCTGTGCTGAGTTTGATTAACAAGAGGTTGCCAAGAATCTCCACTACTCGGTCGCTACCAAGAAACCGGATTAGGATTTGTTTCGTTGTGTGCACCCACAATTGCAGGACAATCACAGGGAAAAAATCGATTAAAATCTAAAGTCAGGGAAGTCCATGAGAAGCTGTCACGCGTTCAGATCTCTGTAAAACATGAAGAACCACGGATTTAGATGGTAATTTGATTGACGGTAGCATTATTCAGAGTGTCATTTTCATTTCTTTGAAATTCGTTGGATGATTCCGCTTAATCATCAGCCAGAAATGGCCTTCAAGATATATTAGCTGTAAGTATCACACGACTAACAAATTTACAACGCACTCTTAAAATGATCCAAATTTATGCTTCCACAAGCAGAAACGAAACGAGCGTAAAAGAAATCCATGAGGAGCCGGAGGATACACTAATTCAAAAATCTATTTATTAAAAATTTCGGTGAGGAGGTAGAACGTGGAAAGAAAGTAACAGTCGTTGATAGGCATGGTACTGAAGAAGGAAATTTAATAAGAGAAAGAAAACTCTGGAGAGGACGAGGGAAATATTGACTGTTTTACATCCAGGTAAATAAGATCCGTAGACGATGAACAGGGATCGCACCAAACGCTGAAAACAAGAAAGAAATTGATTACACAGTTCCTAATAAGTGTCGCGTTCTCGCTGTACAAGCGCATCTCAGTGATGTAATCCTTCAACACTGGCAGTGACCATCGCCTACTCAGGGCAAGACTCACTTTCGATGAAAAACTAAAGAATGCCCTATCGATGGCGAATTGTAGACAAGGATGGAAAGAGTGTGATGAGACACTGCTGAAAACGGTCATTTCCATCGAAGACTGAAGCCTTAAGGAACGATTCAATAAGGATCGTCAGGGACATATCAATAAACTCAAGAGATTCGTGAGGGCAGTTGAGCTAGAAAGACAATCGACATAAAAGTCTCGGAAACAACTAGAATCATATTAGGGAAGGAAAAAATACGAGAAAGGCTCCTTTCTATGTAGGTTCATAAAAGGCAAATTAAAAGACTTCAAGAAACTTCGAAAAAGGAACTGATTAACATAGCTGAAGATTGGATAAGCCTATTAACCTGTAGAAGAGAATCAATGCTGCAGAGACCAACTGTCGGAGCGTTAAGGAACAATCTCAGACAAGACTGGCATGGAAGCGAGCTGTAGAGTTTTACACTCAGCTGTTTACTTAATGACTAAGCATCTCAGCGCCAGCAGTCGAATGCACTTTCTGTCCTTGCAAGTGAAGTTCTACACGCAGCTTATGACATAAATGAAGGAATAGCTCGAATGATAAAGGCAGGCAGTCAGAAACTGTAGGACGCTGTTGCCCAGAGGTTCAATAAATACGCAAAAATGGTGAAAATACCATTCTGATAGAAGGAGTAAATTACTTTTCGATGGAAAAGACGGTTGATCGAAAATTTAAAGAACCATCGCTCGATATGCTTGCTTTCACATGTCTACAAGCCGATCACGACGATAACTGCAGACCGACAGAATCAAGGTTTTTGGATGAGAAAGCGTGAAATAAAATGGATTATTGCTCACAAAGACGTGCAAAATGTTCATAAAAATCGTATCTCTATTAGATCAAGTCAAGGTGAAATCTGAAAAGCAGTGAGAATTGGGTACACCATGTGACATAAGAAAGAGCCCCCCCCCGATGGAATGAATTACTGATATCATTTGCAAAAGAAATTTTATGAACAGGCATATCAAATAAACGTTATGATCAGTACATTGAAATTTAAGCAGTTTGTCACAATAAATTCAGCAAGAACACAGAAAGAAGCATTAGAGGTATTTCATCACGGATCAATGTAAGCGATATAGGCAATAAAACCGCGATTATCATGGTTGTCATAATCACTACATATGCATGGGTCAGGTAGCTTCGTAATGCTAAAAAACGCCAGCGCTACTGGAGAAGGTCGACTTCATGCCCTATGCTAAAGCGATTGCATCCTGAAATGGATGAGCTACTTAAATCGCCAAAAATAGGATAAGAAAACTCGGAAAAAATGCCCAGTAGAGCGCAACGCTTCTTCTCATTGGACAACGTAGAACATTTACGAATAAGTACAGTGAGTTTCCACATAAATGCACCTTAGCATTCATAACACTGAATATCGACATTTCATTCTGAATAGCATTCTTTCATACAAGTTATAAGCAGTCAAACCTTAAACATATAAAAAAAATCAACTGTGGTACCTTGAAGTCTGTATTATTCACATATTCAAAAATAAGTGCAGGGGTACGCGAAACCGGATCCTTCACAACGTCAATCAAGGATACAACGTTGGTGCCGTTGCGCAGATTTTCGAGAATTTTTATTTCACGCTTGATTTTTTTCTTTTTCACTGGCTAAATAAATCAAAGATATAAAAACTAAAATTCAAAATAAACACTGCAAACCTTTAGAATTTTTATCACAACTTTGTCGTCGTTATTAACATTCACACCCTCAAAAACTTCGCTGTATTTCCCACGACCGAGTTTGCGAACAAGCTGATAATCATCTATGTTTCTGAAATAACGAAAATAATTAAAAACTAAACATCTTTACTCATATAAAATTCAGTAAATATTAATAATAATAGTAATTCAGATAATTCTTAAGAATCTGAGTTAAGGCCAGGCGTAAGGATGCATCTAAGGCAAAGTATAAGGGTAAGTTATATTCAAGTTTATGGCCAAACTTAAGGCCACTCATAGGCTAAGTTAAGACCAAGATTAAGGCGAAGACAATGTTAAGTTTAGGGTAAGTTAAAGCCAAGACTATGTTCAAGGTTAGGACAAGCCCGAGGCGAAGTTAAAGCTAAGATGAAGACCAA